TCCCTATGGAGACCAGGAAGGCAGTGTGAGTCTGACTCTGTGGCCCGGCCTGGGTAATGGCTGGCCGTGGACATCCGGTGGCTAATGCTACCCCTCCACAGAGATGAGCCGACTCACCCGGCCACCTTAGACAGAATGGACTGGCCATAGCAGCTTCTCAAGTGGAAGTTTACCTGGGTGCTTTCAGACAAAGCTTTTGTGTATTTTTGTTTCCCTTGGTTTTAAGGAAGAAGGCTTGGCCTGTTCCCCCTGCCCCCCTATGCTTAGCCCAGCCAGCGCAGCTCTTCCTCCTTGGGAATTCAAGGCAGGTTGAGTGCATCGTGTCCACAATGACAGGCTGGGGGTTTTGTCGCTGCTGGGCAGCCTGTGAAGCCTGGCCCTTCCCTTCAGCCTAGGGTGGGGCTTTGTAGAGGGGCCCAAGGCTCTTGAGGATGCCCCCCGGGCTCCAATGATGGTCTTTGCCAGCGATCCCCCAATCTCTCTATCTCGCCTGGCCCCTCGAGGCCTGTGTTGCTCCCTGACTATTGGGCATCCTGTGTAGATGTCTGGCCAACAAGTCAGACTCAACGTGCCCCAAGTGGGATTCATCATCATCCTCCCTGGGCCTGCAGCCACTCCATGAAGGCTGATAGGGAGCCTGGCTGTCCCCGAGCCTCCCACAGCGCCCTCCCCACCGACCCATCTTCATGCTCCCTCTTCCCCATCTCTCCCAGTGTCTCCTGCTACTCTTCCACTAAATCCAATGGCATTGAATCAAAATGAATTGTGTTCCACAGCATTTATTAAACTCCTAGACACCCTGCTAGGTCCTGAGCTCCAGAACCAAAGATGAGGTCATTTCTGCTATCATGGAGCCTCCTTTTTACTGGAGGGGGGGGCGAATGGGACGAGGTCCTGGGGTGGCCTCTCCTCTACTCCCGCTGTCTCCCAGGGGTCCCCTGGGTGCCTTCTTTGGCCCTTTCCTTTCTCCTCCATTGCACTGTCCTCCTATCCCCATCCTCTCTCCCTCCAGGGTCCTTCCTTTTCCCCGCGCCCTCTCTCTCTTTCCCCGCGTCTTCTCTCCCTCCTCGATGTCTCCTCACACTCTCTCTGCCCTCTCTATCCCATCTGTGGTCACTCCCCCATGTCCCCTCTCTCTTTGTCTCTTCTGTGTCCCTTTGCCTCCTCCTCTGCATTCTGAGCCCCCTCTTTCTCACTTCCTTTTCCTCCTCTGTTTCCTTCTCCCCCATAGTTCACCTTCTTGCTGTCTTCCCCTTCCTCTTGGCTTCACCCCTCTGCCCTCTCTACCTTCTCTGCCCCTTCTCTCTCCTACATTCTTTCCAGCAGGATGTCCCTGGGTCCCCTCTGACCTCCTTCCTCTTTAAGCCCCTCTATGATCTGAGTTCAGGCTTGTGGTCTTTAAAGACCCTCCGTCTCCTCAGTGGGCAAAGACAGAGATGGCCTCCTCTGGCTGACTTCTGAGTCATCCTCATCATGTTGGCTCCCTAGCTTTGTCTCATTGGGCAGGAGGGAGTCAGAAGACTTGGGTCTGTGTGGGGCTGGTCACATTACTCCCCACCTCTGGGCCTCAGTTTCCTGAACCATCCCTAAACCCGATGACCCTAGGAAGCCGCTCTCACGATGGACAGTTAGAGAGAGAGGAAGGTTTGATGCCAGGAAGGAAGGTGGCTCTGTGACAAGGACGCTTCTTGATCAGTGGAGAATATTGGGAGAGGGTCTCCAGGCTCCAGTAGTGGTGGGGAGGGGGCTTGTTGGTCCCAAACAAGATTAGGACCCGGGGATCCCAAATCTCAGTCTTGGGCTCCCAATCTTCCCTGGTGGAGCTATTCCTTTCTCAAAGACCCTGAAACCCCAAATCCTGAATCGACTTGCCCCACTAGGACCTGGCTTTTTTTTTGGTGTTTGTTAGGGAGGGGTGGGGGAGTGAGGAGGGGAGGCCAGAGATGAATGAAGTGCTTGTCCTGCACCTGGAGGGGCGAGGCCGAGGGCTGAGGTGATGGGGCGAGCACGGAAGGAGCTGTGCCCACCCCACAGTCTGCTCTTGCAAACAGCCTCTCTCTTGTACCTTTATTTGTGTTGGAGACGAGGCCCATGGAAACCCGAGTCCGGCTGCAAATAGGCGGCTTTGTAGAGTTGGTTAACGAGGTATGTACGTTCAGAAAGGGCTTACCAGTGGAGACGGCCGCTCTCTGGTCAGGTGCCAAGGCTCCGGGGAGAGCTGGCTCTGGGTTAACGACTGGGGGTGGGGAGGGGGCTCGTCGGTCTAAGCGGATCAGGCCACTGGGAGGGCCCATGATTCCAGAGCCCCGATTGAGTGGGTGTTTGCAGCCTGTGGCCGAGCTGGTGGGCCCGGTCCAGAAATAGCCATCCCAGCCTCCAGAGTCACAGCCAGGAAAACATGGAGCCCGGGGAACTGGGAGGGAGAGTGCCGACCGCCCTCAAGGACCACGGGGAGCCCGGCTTCCACAGCCCTGCCCTGGGGGAAGGACCCTAGAAAGCAAGGCTGGCTTTAGACAGCAGTGACAAAGCTGAGCAAACAAAACCCCTCAGATTCCTCAAGGTTAAAACCCACAGACAAAAGGAAAACGAAAATTTTCCAAATGTCGTGTGTGCCTGGGCTGGATTGTGCAATGGTGACTCCAGATTAATTAGGAACACGCAGGGAGCAGGCGCAGGACGCCCAGAACCCCGAGGGAACTCTGCCTTTACCCACTTGGTCCTGAGATGCCAGGGCCCAGGCGCGGGAAGGAAGGATGTGGGCAGAGAGCTTCGGAATGGCCGGGCCGGGCCGGCCTCCACAGCCTTCTGGGCTTTCCATCCCAGCTTTGTCTCGGCCGGGGGTGGGGAGGCTGCCGAGCCCTGGTGGGCAGTGGGCATTCAGTGCCATTAAAGGCCTGTTATAGGCCAGGCTCTGGGCAGGGCACTGAAATAGAAAGGAGAGACGGGGAGGGGGAGGGGGAGAGGGGGAGAGACAGAGAGAGGAGACAGAGATAGAGTGACAGAGGAAGAGACAGAGACAGAAAGAGAGTAGAGAGAAAGGGAGAGAGAAGAGAGGGAAAGAGGGGAGAAAGAGAGAGAGACAGAGAGGAGAGAAGAAAAAAGAAAGAAGAAAGAAAGAAAGAGAAAGAGGAAAAAGAGAGAGAAAAAAAGGAAGGAAGGAAGAAAACCACTCCTGCCCTCAGGGAACTGACCTTCTCCTGGGGAAACAACAGGGAAAGAGGTGGTGATGTGAGGAGGGCGGGCTCCCTTCCCACCAGGGAGAAGAGGAAGACCTTCCTGGAGAAGACGACAGGGGCACTAGAGGTCTTCAAGAAAGCTGGGCATTAGAGGTGGAGGCGAAGGGGGACTGCATGCTAGGCATGGGGCACTTCATCTGCAAAGGCCTGGAGGCTGTGCCTAGGAAATGGCCCACGGGCTGGTTTGACTGGAACACCCAGTGTAGAGTTGATGGAATGTGGAACAAGACTGGGAGGGTGGCCTGGAGATCAGTGTCGATAGTCAGGGGCGTGGTGAACAGAATGCTGGACTTGGAATTAGGGAGACCTGGGTTCAAATCCTGCCTCAGATGCTTACTGGCCGGGTGACTCTGAGGAAGTCACTTGATGTTGCTCAGCCTCAGTCTCCTCATCTGTAGAATGGGAGCTGCCATGGACTGTGTGCGGCAAGTCTGTCACTATTGTCTAGAATGGGGCCTGTGCTCCTGGGGGGCCCCGAGGGAGAGCAGGGAAGGCCGCCCTCCCCCCGCCCGCCTGAGTCGCTGCTGGCCGAGACACAGAGATGGGAGACCAAAATCGACCCATCTTCCCTGCCCGGAGTGGGCGACTGGTCAGTCTTGAACAAGATTCATTAGGGCAGGGCACACATGGGGGGCACACCCAGCCCCACCCAGACACACAAGTACAGGCCTTATACAGGATTTCTATCTGCCTCTTGGCCGCGGAGCAGGGAGGGTGCTGGCTCAGCTGCAGACAGACACTGGGCATCTCTGGGCATCCAGGAAGGACAGACGGCCCGTGATCATTGGGTCCTTCAGGTCAATAAGCCTTTATTCAGACGTTAGGAGTGAAAGATGGCTGCCCTGTGCGCTGTTAGGCCTCTCCCAAAGGCCTTAGTGACAACCCCACGGAGGGGTCCTTGGCCCCTGTCTTTGGGGGAGACTCCACTCTCGTGCTTGCCAATGGACCATGGAGGCTGGCCCCCTAGGAGGAAGAAAAGCAGCCCTTCCCCCTTCTCCTGTCTTGATGCTGGATCAACACATAGATCTCTTGATAATTTGGAGATGGGTCCTTAGAGCCCCCGGCTCCCAGCGAGAGCCCAGACTCCCTTTTCTCCCCGTGCTCCGAGCTTTGATGGGCCCCCAGTGGGCTGTGTCCTCTCCCCAAGCTCCGGCTCCTTGGCATCCTGAGCTCCTCAGCTTAGAAGGTCCCAGAACTTGGGGGTTCAGCAGGCTGAGCTGGCAGCCAAGCAGAAGACTTGACCGTTCCTGCCCTCGGCGGTTCCTTCCCTCCCTCAGGGGTGCATCAGGAAGCTTTGCCCCGAGCTGGCTTCCTTGCCCGGGAATTAGGGTTCCCTGCTGGCTCTGCCCCCTCCGTGGGACCGTGACCTCCATCTCTGGGGATCCTCCCCATCCCACCCCCTGACAGTAAGGACAGCCATAACACCCCTGGAGAGGACAGGATGCTTATTTTCTCCACATCTCTCCCCATTGTCCCAGGATGCCTCAATAAAACACTTCGCTAGCTGTTCTCCCCTCCCCCATTAGAGGGGAAGCTCTCTGAAGGCAGGCACCGTCTTTTTATTTCTATCCCCAGCACTGAGCGCAGGGCTTGGCTCACAGTAGGCACTTTCAGTTGCCCCCCTCCTGGAGGGGGCTTCTGTCCTTCTGCCCTGCTGGCCCCAGGCAGAGCCTCCCTCGGTGCTGGGTCGGATGCCCCCACCCCGGGGCCCCTGACCACCAAATGAAGTGAGAGCTCACGGCGTTTCCCCTCTCCTTTTCACAGGAAATCGTGCTCGTGGCATTTTTTGGGACGGAATACGTGGTTCGCCTGTGGTCAGCGGGGTGCCGCAGCAAATATGTGGGGATCTGGGGACGGCTGCGCTTTGCTAGGAAGCCCATCTCCATCATCGGTGAGTCGGAGCCTGGTGTGGGCCAGGCGCCACTGGATTGGGAGGCCCGCTGCTGGCCCCCCCCCCTGGAAAGGCCCCTGGACAGGGTATTCTGGACCCAAAAGGGAAAAGCCAATCTAGAAAGTCAAAGCTGGAAGGAGGCCAGGGACTGCACAGTCCAATCCTGTCTTTGGACAGGAAGGAAACTGAGGCCCAGACAGAGGAAGAGACTTCCTGGAAACAGGAGGCAAATCCGGGCACACCTCACTTGGCCCAAGATCTTTCTGTCCCATTAGGAGTCCCAGCCCAAGGACGGCAACCCGTAGAGACGTCCCTCAAGGCCCCTCCCTCCTCACTTTAGAGATGGGGACATGAAGGCCAATAGCCTTCCGACTTCCTGGCTGAGTGCCCAGGGGCCCAGGCACCCCCCCACCAGCTGCCCCAGACTCACAGGTGGGCCTGTTGGGTCCGACCCAGAGCCCCGAGAGAGCCCCCGAACTCGGGTCAGAGGAGGGGAGGCTGGTTGGGGTGTGTTTGGAAGGAAGCTGTTCAGTTACTCTCTGGTGGTTTTCAGGGGTATGCCTGGAGGGGTTTGAGGGGCTCTGACATTCCCAGGGACCAAATTAAAATAACTTGGGGATTATCATCCAATGAAAATCTGGTTTGATGAGTGTGGAGATCTGGGACCGCTCTGGGAAGCAGGGCTTGGCAGGCAGGGGCCCACTCCACCACCGGGCAGGCAGGAAGGCATAGGATTCTGCATCCAAAGGGACCCTGGCGGCCCTGGAGGCTCATTCCTCTCATTAGATGGGTGGGAGATAGTCCCGGAGAGGGGAAGGGCCTGGTCCTGGGTTCCAAAGGTAGAAAGTCGCAGAGCTGAGGTTCCAACCCAGACCGCTTCGGCTCCTTCCTGTGCACATGGTCAGCTGAGTTCATGTCCCGTGAGTACAGCAACCGCTGTGCCCCGGCGAGGACACCCCTGGACACAGAATACTGGAGCCCTTTGAAAAAGTGAACCATAATCAGAAAGCCACAGCCTGGCCATAGGGCATCTTCAGGCCCGATCTCCTCACTTTACAGGAAAGGAAACTGAGGCCTATGGAAACCGGGGGGAGATTAGGTCAAAGTCCCCTAAGCAGGGGAGTTAGGATGGGACCGCAGGCCAAAGGGCCCTGGCCTCGCTCTTCCCACTCATCAGAAACTCTCAGGCCCTGGGTCTTACTCACTCCTGCCTCCCCCTCAGTGCCTAGCATGGGGCCTTCCAGCTACCACTCAGCAGATGTTTGCCCACTGAGTCTTTGCTGCCCCAAACTGCTCTATTCCAGGGACCTCCTCAGAGGGAGTGTTTGGGGGCTGTTCTCACAGAAGGCTGCCTGGGCCGGGACTCGGCAGGGCTGGGGGCAGCGTGAGCAGGAGTCCTGTCCTTGGTCGCTGGTGGGTTAGCAGTGCCTTTGGGAGACATCATGTGATAAGGTCAAGCTTTTGGCCTTCCCGTCTCTCTTCATCCAGACCTCATCGTGGTGGTGGCCTCCATGATTGTACTCTGCGTGGGCTCCAAGGGGCAGGTCTTCGCAACGTCAGCCATCAGGTAATCACTCCTCGTCAGCCATGGCGACCGGAGGGAGAACCTCCCAGGACTGTGCACTCCCCCTTCGGCATCCGAGGCCTCCTGGCCGACCTCTTTGCTTGCTCATCGGAGGTGCCTCACCTCCGGTAGCGAATCCTTCCGTCTCCCACCTCCCCTCGCCAGACATTGGGTGGCAGGCTTTAAAGGGTTCTGGGAACTGAGAGATTGACCCCAACCCCTTGGTTTTATAGAGGAGCAGAGGGGGAAGGGGGTCACCCAGGGTTGTCCGATTGATCTGCCAATCAGCTGGCATTGATTAAAAGCTTACTTACTGTGTGCCAGGCTCTGTACCTCTTTGAACTCAAATTGGACAGACAGCCTCTACACAAAAGGCAGTTTGGGGAGGGGGGCTGTGACACCAGGAGAGGCTTTATGGAGAAGCTGAGTCAGAGGCTTGGCAGTGGCCGTATCCCGTATGGATCAGAGCGTGGGACAGTGGATGGATCAGAGCGTGAAGAAGAGGGAAGGGTCGTTATGGCCCAGTGGTGGAGTCCGTATTGGATTCCAGGAGGAGTAGGAAGCCCCTGGCCCCCAGCGGCTTGTAATGGGCTGAGCCAGGCCACGTGGCCCCCGCGCATCCTTGGCCGCCAAACTGCGGGTGGAGTGTGGGCCCGTCAGCCTCCATCTCTCCAGGAGCTTCTGTTTCTGGTTTTTCTTCTCCCCAAGGGCTAGGCTTTTGGTAACCATTGAGTGGGCTTGTTTCCAACCAGGAGCCGGCGGTTTAGGCTGGCAGGCCAAACACAAAGAGACGTGGAAGGGATGTGGCTGGGGCCAATACGGTGACACCCAGCCTGGGCGTCCCCCTGCCTGGGACCAGACCCACATCTAGCTGGAGACTTCCTTCGTTGGGCTCAGGCCTCGTTCTTGTGAGGCCCCTTCCCAAGAGGAGGGCGCCCTCCCTCGAATCAGGGCCAGGAGAGCCGATGCCGTCTCCTCCCCTCCCACCCGCCTTTCCCAGCAGACCTCACTGGGCCCGGCCCCTGACGTTCCTGTGGCCAGCCCGAGCCCGCCGAAGGGCGAAGGGCCAAGGCCCTCAGGCTTCTGGTCTCATGAGCTCTTCTGCTCTGTCCCCAGGGGGATTCGCTTCCTGCAGATCCTACGGATGCTACACGTTGACCGGCAGGGTGGAACGTGGCGACTCCTGGGCTCGGTGGTCTTCATCCATCGGCAGGTGAGCCGGGGTGGGCACCAGCCTAAGCCCTGTCCCTCGGCCCCAGTGTCTGCTTCCCACGATCTGGGCTTCTGGGGAAGGGGCAGGGGAGGAGGGGCCAGCCCTGGGCCTAGGGTTCTTGGAAGAGGCTTGGTTGACTTGCAAGTGTGATCAGAAAGACTTGTTCCTGTATGTGCACCCCATGCTCACACACACCAGGCTCACACACACACACACCCCATGCTCACACACACCAGGCTCACACACACACACCATACTCAAGCACACGCCATACTCATGCACACACCAGACTCACACACACACCAGGCTCATGCACACGCCAGGCTCCCCCCCCACACACACCATGCTCACACACACACACCAGGCTCACACACACACCATGCTCACACATGCCAGGCTCACACACACACACACACACACACACACACACACACACACACACACGCACACACCAGGCTCACACAGACACCATGCTCACACATGCCAGGCTCACACACAAACACACCAGGCTCACACACACACTCACCATGCTCATGCACACGCCAGGCTCACACACACACACCAGGCTCACACACAAACACACCAGGCTCACACACACACACACACACGCCAGGCTCACACACATACACACACACCAGGCTCACACACATACACACCATGCTCACACACACACCAGGCTCACACATGCCAGGCTCACACACAAACACACCAGGCTCACACACACACACACCAGGCTCACACACACACACGCCAGGCTCACACACACACACACATGCCAGGCACACACACACACACACACACACACACACACACACCATGCTCATGCACACACCATGCTCACACATGCCAGGCTCACACGCGCACACACACACACACACACACACACACACACCAGGCTCACACACACACCATGCTCACACATGCCAGGCTCACACACAAACACACCAGGCTCACACACACACACACCATGCTCATGCACATGCCAGGCTCACACACACACTCACCATGCTCATGCACACGCCAGGCTCACACACACACACCAGGCTCACACACACACACACACACCAGGCTCACACACAAACACACCAGGCTCACACACACACACACACACCATGCTCACACACACACACACACGCCAGGCTCACACACATGCACACACACCAGGCTCACACACATACACACCATGCTCACACATGCCAGGCTCACACACAAACACACCAGGCTCACGCACACACACACCATGCTCATGCACACGCCAGGCTCACATACATACACACCATGCTCACGCACACACACACCAGGCTCACACACACAGCAGGCTCACACATGCCAGGCTCACACACAAACACACCAGGCTCACGCACACACACACCATGCTCATGCACACACCAGGCTCACACACACACACCAGGCTCACACACACACACACCAGGCTCACACACAAACACACCAGGCTCACACACACACACGCCAGGCTCACACACATACACACACACTAGGCTCACACACATACACACCATGCTCACACACACACCAGGCTCACACATGCCAGGCTCACACACAAACACACCAGGCTCACGCACACACACACCATGCTCATGCACACATCAGGCTCACACATGCCAGGCTCACACACAAACACACCAGGCTCACGCACACACACACCATGCTCATGCACACATCAGGCTCACACACACACACACACACACACACCCCATGCTCATGCACACACCATGCTCACACATGCCAGGCTCACACGCACACACACACCAGGCTCACACACACACCATGCTCACACATGCCAGGCTCACACACAAACACACCAGGCTCACACACACACACACCAGGCTCACACACAAACACACCAGGCTCACACACACACTCACCATGCTCATGCACACGCCAGGCTCACACACACACACCAGGCTCACACACACACACACCAGGCTCACACACAAACACACCAGGCTCATGCACACACACCATGCTCATGCACGCGCCAGGCTCACACACACACACACACACACACACACACCATGCTCATACACACACCATGCTCACACACGCCAGGCTCACACACACACACACCAGGCTCATACACACACCAGGCTCACACACACACCATGCTCACGCACACACCATGCTCACACACGCCAGGCTCACACACAAATACACCAGGCTCACGCACACACACCATGCTCATGCATACGCCAGGCTCACACACACACACACACACACACACACACACACACACACAAACACACCATACTCAAGCACACACCATACTCATGCACACACCAGGCTCATGCACACACCAGGCTCACACACACACATGCCATGCTCACACATATGCAGACACTCATACACACGTGCTCAAGTCATGTTGCGTTCAGTCTTTTAGGCAGCAGTAAAGGGGCCATCGCCAATATGGCAGCCTGGGTCCCAGAGCCACTGGTGGAGATTCATTTGTCAGTAGCATCTGTGTTCAAGGTGGGACTGTGGAGCACAGAGAGGGAAGGAGCGAGGGGCCACCCGTTCTTGGAATTTGGAACTCTTGGAAATGGATGGGAGGCCCCTCCCTCCTTCCCAAGAGTTCTGAGAAATGCACATTGGAAGTTGGAGCTCCCTATGGGAAATGCGCTTGACTTTAGGATAAGTGAATGGGGCGGGCCGTGCTCCTCTCTGGCATTCATACTGTCTGCTGACACACCCTTTTCCTTGATTGCATCTTGCCTCACAGGAGCTGATAACCACCTTGTACATCGGGTTTCTGGGTCTAATCTTCTCCTCCTACTTCGTGTATTTGGCGGAAAAGGATGCTGTGAATGAGTCAGGCCAGATTGAGTTTGGCAGCTACGCGGATGCCCTGTGGTGGGGCGTGGTAAGTGGGGTGCCCTGTTCCCCTGTGGAATCTGAGCTACTGGGGTCCCGCCTGTGTTAGCTGACCAGAGGTCATTCTGGAGAATGGGCCCCATTATCAGCATCTGCCCGTCCGAATGCTGGTCAATGACTTCCCTGCCCGCCGGCTCTGACGGTGGAAAGTTTCCCTCACTGAGATCAGCGTCTTGTCAGCTGTGGTCAAGGCCACTGAAATCCAGGCTTCCCTCTTCCCCTTGGCCAGTGACATCTGCCTGGGCCTCTTAAGTCACTTTGTTTATGGAGTCCAAGTGAGTTATTTGTTGGCAAGTTGGAGGAACGTGCCGCTCAAACCACTGGCGTCCAGCACACCCAGACCGAGCCTGGGTTGGCATGTGGTTCACCCCAGGAGAGGGGCCTGGACAGCACACGCGCTGTCAGCAGGCCGGGTTTCCAATCCAAGTCAGAGCAGAAACGCCAGGCTTCTCGCGGGCTCAGGCTGCCCGGCTTTGCCACCCTGGCATCGTGGGAGCCCTCGGACGTCAACCACGGGCCCTCAGCGAAGCAGTGAGTGTCGGCTGGGCAGATCCCACAAAAAGCCAGCTGCCTGATGAAAATCTGGATCTATCCAAAGAGAAACTGGGTCGAGGTGGGCAGCTGAGGGAGTATGTGCTTCACAGAGTTCTTCCCCAAAGGACCCTTCTGCCGCTGCCTTCCAGCAACAAGAAAGAGCCTTTATTAAGCACCTTCTGTATTCTGGAGAGGGAGAGATGCAAAGGGAAAATTAGGCAGGGCCTGTCCTCAGGGAGAGCTCCCAGTCCGGTAAGATGCACTGATTTGTCTGCATCAAGACCCACAGAGGCTGAGTAGTGGGAGGAAGATAAAGCCTCTGGCTGCTGGGGAATTCCTAGTGTGTGTCCCAGGTGAGAAGACCCCTCTCCCTGGGGCCTGCGCCCGGGACATGTTTGCCACAGGGTGTAGCCACGTGTTGACGTGACAGGGGCTCGGGGCTGTGGCCATGGAGGTCAAGAGGCAGAGCTGGGAGGGACCTCGGTGGTCCTCCGTTTGAACCCAAGCCCCATCGTTTTACAGATGAAGACACTGAACCCAGAAGTGACTTGGCCAAGGTCACATAGATAGTGACTTCCAGAGCCAACACACCAACCTGAATTCCTGGGCAGCTTCAGATCCAGCGGCTTTCCCTTCTGCCAATCCACATTCTGGATTCTCATGTCAGCCCTGCCACTCACTTTGCTAGGACTCACATTCCCCACCTTCAGACTTCCTGCTAGGCAGTAACCTTTTCTGGCAGTCCTGAGAACTCCCCTCCCCTTCCCCTTCTCCCTCTGCAACCTTGTCAAAGTCCCTCCCCCCACTCTGAGCCTCAGTTTCCCCCTCTGAAACAGAGAGGCCTTGGCCTTGACTGTTCCCGTTTCAGATCTTGGTGTGTCTCACAGAAAGACAATGAGGAAGGGGATTGTGTCTCTGAAAAGAGCATGGGAAGAACTAGCTCTGATAAGCCAGTGCTGACTATTGAGCGGGAATATTAAAGAATATGATTATAGTTCAGCATCGTGTGTCATGTTTCCAAAAACTGACTTCATGCTGGGACTTGAAGGACTCATCCGTAAATGCAATAAGGGGGAATATTAACTGCATCCTTTACAAGCCACAGCACGGCCATGATCGTGATCAATAAGGAAACAGGAACAAAAGAGGCAGATGTAAATGGAGGCAGATAAAATGTCTGAGTGATTAGTTATGCCCAAAGTCTGCCGGGCTGCCTCGGGAGGCAGACAGAAGCGAAGTGGTCCAGCTTTCGTGTTCAGGTAGGACCCCAAGAGCTCAGGTCAGCCCCCTCTCAGAGCAGGGCTGCTGCTAGGGAAGCCAGGAGGTCACTGCAGCTGCGTGTTTTTCCGCCCCAGCAAGCGGAGAGATGTCTTTCCCCACTCCCACCCTCTCTGTCCCTTTGAGGTTTTGCATGTTTGGGAGTGACAGTTTTCCATCCATTAATGATGCCTTCTCTGCAGCTGCCCTGTGCGGGGGAGCTGCTGTGGGGAGGGCTTGGTCAGTTGGATTCAATCAAGCTATTAATCTTAACCCCGAGTTATGGGACATTTTCTCACTTCTTGTAAGAGAAACACCTCAGGAGAACACAGGCCTGGCTGACTGGAAGCTGGATTCCATTTGGAAAAAGCCGGCCAGCTGCCGAATCAGCATCTTTCCTTCTTCCCGGGCTGGCGGGGAGCAGAACATGACCCCCTGGCCGTTTCTGTGCTCCATCTTGTGTTGGGGTGGCTGGCTGACAAGACAAGGGGCCTGGGAGTGCTTCTGGGAAGGGTCTCAAGGTACTGGAAGGACCTTGGATTTGGGTCTTGGTTGGAACCCCCACCCCCGCTCTTTGTAGGTCTGACCTGGACAAAGCACTTGTCCCTTTGAGCCTCAGTTTCTCCATCTGTAAAATGAGGTAGCCACACTGGACAGCCTCTGAAGGACTTCCAGCTCTGGCACTAGGGTCTCAAAGCCCTTCTCCTCTCTGTAGCATGAGAAGCTTTGACATTAGATTGTTCTGCAGTCTTGCTTCTCACTCCCCTGCAGTCATTTCTGCATTTCAGAATCCCCCCAGCACACTGATGAGGACGGACCTGGGATGGGCCAGGGAGCAAGGAAGGAGAAGCTTCCTAGGATGAGCCTGCGCTCTTGGGCTGGCCTTCAGAGGCGGCTCATGGGGAGCATCCCCAGAGTGGGTGCAGGTTACAGTGAAGACAGGGGAGTTCAGTCAAGGCCTGAGTGAGAGGCCCCAGTGTCCTCTTCTGGTGCCCAGCACAGGCCAATCTTCCATCCCCTCTTAAACCCTTTCTGCCCTCTCTCCCTTCCTCCTCCTCCTCTTCTTCCCTTCCCTTCCTTTTCCTGCCTCCTTCTCCCCTCTTCCTTCCCTCCACTCCCACCCACTCTCTTCATCAGTGAATGAATGGATTGGCTTCCTGGGCTCCTTGGGAGACAGGGCTTTGGGGCTGATGAAGGAGCCGTGGTCTGACAGCCCAGAACGTGTCAGTCTTTCCATCAAGCCCCCTATGGCACTGCTGTAAAATTAGTATCTTGCTCTTTAGGGGGTTATAAATTGACTGTAAAAACTCAATCTTCCCTGAAACTTGGCAGCCGTGGCAGGCCCCACGGCCGAGGTGCTGGAGCCATTATCCTTTATTTTCGTTTCACCTTGGGAACAAGACACATTTGTCCACTTTAGAGTTATGAGCAGAGAGAAAATGTTATTTTTATCTGTGCACTTTGCTGAGCTGGTGCCTTGTTCAGCTTAAATGGGTGGAGAGTGAATGTTTCCAGGCCACCTTTGGCACCTTCGTTTCCAAGAGTAGTGTGACAGGCACCTCGAACCCCTGGGCCTCCTTCTTCGCAGGGGGCCCCCTCAAGGCCATCATCCTTGGGGACAGACCTTCCAGGTCTGGGGCTAGGCCCCTGAGGGAGGCAGAGATGGGTAGATTCCCGCCCCTGCCCCTTCTTCGTATGTCACGGGAACCTAGGAGACACCTGGCTCAGCTCTTGGCTAGGTATCCCCTGCCCGCCTCCTTTCCTAGGGTCCATCTTCTCTTACGAGTTCTTTTTTTGCCACAGTGGCTTGAGCAGCCTGGCCAACTCATAGCCATGGAGATGCCATGGAGAAAGCTGCCATTTTACCCACAGGAGACAGTGTGATGGTGGAAAGAAAGCTCACAGCTTTAGGAGTTGGAAAACCCAGTATTCCTGCCCCTCCTATACTACCATCCCATCCTTAGAAACACAGGGCGGGGGGCAGGGGCAGACACACCTAGAGCATCTCTAAGGCCCCTCCCAGTTCTGGAATGCTGTGTTCTATGTTCTAAGGCCTCTGCTCTGATTTTCTGTGTGTGAAGGTCACAGCTCTCATGTTCCATGTTCTATGTTCTAAGGCTCTTCTCGGTTCTGACATTCCAAGTTATATCTATTTTTTTGCATTGTAGATATCCATTGATTTTCTATTGAATAAAAGGTAAGGGGATACTTTCTGACATTCTGGGGGTGGTCCCCCAAGTCCTCACTTCTCTATAAAGGGAAATCTTTTTCCATGTCCCTTGTCCATGCAGGCCCTCTCCGCCCTAAAATGAGCATGCCTTGCTTGGCTCCCTCTCCCAGGGGCTCTGTGTTCATGCTCACCTGCCATGTGCCCAGGGGTTTCTCAGCCCCTCCATGCAGGTGTTATTGTCCTCTTTATGGCAGGGGCTCCAAGGTCGAGACCTTTTCTCAGTAACCAGCGACTTGACCTACCATTGGCAGAGCCAACACCCAGTAATATGGCGCACACGTGTGATCGTGAAACCAAAGGGCCAATGGAAGTGGCAGATCAATGGACAAAGGTTCCCAGGTTCTCCTTGGGAGGCAGATGACCACAGCTAACCTTCCTATAGCGCCTCCTACGTGCCAGGTGCTGCACTTTACAATTATCAGCTCGTTTGATCCTCACCACAGCCCTGGAAGGGAGGTGCTGCGATGATCCCCGAGTTACAGATGAGCAGACTGAGGCAAACAGAAGGGACATGACTTGCTCAAGGTCACTCAGCCAGTTAAGTCTAAGGCTGGATTTGAACTCAGCAAGTGAAGAAATTAGTAGAGTTAGCTTTTGTCATGGGCCCCAAGGCCATGAGGAGGCTGGTCTTTAAGGCCCATCTCTTGGGATCTGAGGCTACAGTAAGGGAGGAGTAGGCAGAGAATAGGCCTACTGCCCTCTGCCCTGGCCAGGCCACACACAGACAGTTGGCGCCATATTGTATGTCTAGGTGAGAGTGATCAAGATGGTGAGAAGATTGGAGGCAGCACCCTAGAGGACCCAGAAATGTTTACCCTTGAGAAGAGAAGCCTGGGGATGGGGGTGGAGAGAACAGCAGCCATTTTCATCCCCCACCCCCCACCTACCCTCTCCTTGAGGGCAGAGATGGTTTTGTCTTTTTTCTTTGTATTCACAGTCACCATGCCTGGCGCATCGTGGGCACTCAG